AACACCGCGGGGTTTAGTGGGGAGTCCGGTCTTGTTGCCAGGCCGGGAGTCCCACACAAAACCGTCCCTGCTGCTCCCGCAGCACGGACGGCGAAGTGCATAAACGCATTCCCCGCGTTAAAAAAAACTCAGGTTAGGCAAAGATTACAGATTTCCATTTGGCACGGTCCTGGGACAACGTTCTTACCTACCACATTCATATGTAGACACGTGCATGCACGTCTCATATTATCTAATTAGTGATTTCTTAAATAAAATTCACATAAAATGACTTCGGTCTATGGTATTATATTTATATGTTTGTTCTATCCTATTGCGTACCTTTTCCACTATTAAGGAAGGCAAAAGAATAATAAAAAAATATCAGTCTCTACCTTTACGCTTAATATTGTAAGTAATCTTCTCTTGTAAGTCAATCACATTTCTGCTTTTGGATTCTCTCCTTCTAACTCAACATCATTTGATATATAAACACGGCTAAACACTCACGTATATACGTCCGGTGGCGGCACCGACTAGTTTCGAGCCCATCGGGGGCCCTTCATCAGGATGAGTGGCACTGGTATTATTTCGCGGACGCGGCCCGTCGCTCACTGCGCGCCTGCGCAAAACTAGTCGGTGCCGCCACCGGACGTATATACGTGAGTGTTTAGCCGTGTTTATATATCAGTTTAGTATAATGTCTCGCGAAAGTTTGAATAATTTAATCAACATCATTTCTTCACTGTATTCACATTCACATTCTACTCTACCCGCTTACTCTACTCTACAGATGAATAATAATAAAGATTATTGCATTGGTTTACTGCTTACCAATAAAAAAGAAAGTTAAAAAAGTTCTATAATAAAAATTTAAGGTTAGCTATGGAAATAACGGTACTGACCAGTATCAAAAAAGTCAGTGTCGCACGATAACGCGCTTGCGCTGCGTTAAACAAAAAGAAAACTTGCCTCAATTATTTAACCACCGGTGTTAAGGAACCCGACGTACTATTTTTATCTCATTCCAATATAAAAGTGATAAAAAAGCTCGGCCATCGTGATTCGATTACCTCGATAGACGAACCGGAACGACCGCTTGTGTCCGATCATTTCTTACGGGTGCATTCTTTAATGCTGCTATTAGAAATGTAACGATTTTCAATTGAGTTTTGTTTTTTTTTAACTATAATAAGCACTTGATCACGATTCCTTTAACATTGAGATGTAGCTTAAAGATGTTACGATGTCGTAATTTGACTAAAATACTGAAGAACATTTATTTCATTCTTTGCTAAATAGACTTAGTATAGTTGAACGCTGAACTATGAGGCTTTTTATTGCTCAGATTATTTTTATTACAAAAATACTTACATCCAATCAAATGAAAAAGAAAAAATCCCTTTAGCGTTTATGTCGTTTGTATGGACATTTCTTCGATTTTTTATACATCGATAATTTTTTTTCTCTTTACATAAATTAGTTAAACCATTCCTTCTATTAAAACTAACAGCGTATAGAGCTGGAGGTAAAAAAAATAATGTTTGAAAATATAGTAAAAATAAAAATAAATAATGGACAGCCCTGAAAAGCTCGGTAAGTGATATTGTATCTAGCATAGCGAGAACAGACAATAAAAACATTGCGGGTAGATGTATATTTTTCTCCATCTGTATATCAAAACCAGCCAGACCACTTTTATGGCTGTTTTACTGTTCGCAATTTAACTTGTAACGTAACACTTAAGTACGATGAACAGTCAAATAAAATAACATCGTGTTATCTTTTTAATCTATAAAATTCTTTAATTTCGAAAATGGAACATCTAGGCATGGATCTATTTAAAAATATTGATTTATTCTATCGAAGCTTGAATGCGACTATTAATATTCGTTCAACTTTGAGCTGACATAAGTCACTTAAGCAACGTTCGTTTTGATTCACTCGGCAATAATTTATCGAGTAAAAACCGATAACTTCATTAGTTCTTCGCTTCCCCGATTCAAGCGGCAAATATGAACATACAGTTTTTAATCGAATATCCAAAAGCAATTTTAACTATGGCAAAAGCGTCTCTCGCGACAGTCAAACTCTGAAAATAATTTCTCACATTTCTGAGTCGTTTAGAAATGTTTATCTAGCTTTTGTTTTTTGTCTTTCAGATTTATTTATTATTCTACTATTTCCTATTCTTCTTTTGTTTAATATTGTCCAATTATATTTATTTAAACTAATGTGAGTTCTATTGTTGACCTTAAAGGTCTAAAGATTTAAAGATCTTTATTTACTCATAAAAAACACAAAGTTTCGCTTACAATGAGTATAAATTTAATATATAATATAAGGGCTTGCGGGCTAATACAAAATATAGTAACCATATATAAAATTAGTATAAATCAAAAACAGACCTTAGTACACAACTGTAAGAAGTTAAATTGAACAGAAATGATATCTACATATAATATTGAGAATATATTATGACATTACAGCGATGAGATATGATTTAAGTTTGTTTTTAAAAACTTTAACACTTTCACAGTTCTTTATCTCGTCTGGCAGTTTATTAAACATTTGAACGCCTTCAAACAATACAGTTTTATTTCCATAGTTAGTACGCGGAGTGATTAATGTTAATTTGTGTTTGTATTTGAAGTATTCAGTTGTAGCCCACGTTAAAATAATTCATCAAATGATTCCATATCATGAAATTGAATGTGTTGTATCTTTTAATATCAATAAAAAAATAATAATAATTGCTCATTCATTTGTGAAATTCACGTTAATTTATAAATAAATCAGAGCGCAGTGAAAAGTGTATTTTCAATTTTCATTATCGCCGTGTGTTTGCTGTATCTTTTAACTTAACTTCGTTAAGTATTTTTATTTCGTTTAACTTCGATATGAGCGTGAAACGTTCAATCAGCGAGCAACCTGTATATCAGTTTTTTTTTTATTTTAACATTAAAGGTCTACATGAGAATATAAAAAACTTAATCTTGTATTGTATGATATCAGTATTCAGAAATTAAATTATGTAAAGATATTGCCTTAGCTTGTCTCATGTAATTTAATTTATTACTGTTAGAAGTGTCTTTAAACTTTTTTTAACATACGAATCATAGACAAACAAAATCAGCATCGTTATATTTCTTAAGTAGGTAACAAAATTAGCGGAAAAAAGAGTTATTACGGAATAACCTATTTCATAGGAAAGTTGACAAGCCTCCAAAGTGTAGTGCCGGGTAGGCCAGGTGACCTAATTTTTACAATGAGCTGCAATGCAGTAATACGCGCGTCTCTATAAATTTAACACTAACAAAACTCATGACAGACAAAATTAACTCACAAGAAGACAATGTACGATCGAGCTTTCTGCTTTTTTTTCTATTAATATTAAAAGGTGGCAATCGAACAAGTGGCCAACTGACAGACATCCACATTACAGATACGTTGCCAATCGAAGGAAGAGGAGACGCATTGAAAGAGAATATGCGTTTTATTCAAAAGAAAAATCTATATTTTAACTTTTTACAGGCATATGAACTCTTGTTTTAATTTTTATATTTATAGTGTAAGATATGCATTTAAACCAATGTAATTATGATATTGACGATGGCCTAATCACCATATACTTAGGGTGGCTCCGATCCCCTCGATAGGCACGTATAGTGAGCTGATGACGATGATGATGAATTATGGGCTAATACGTTTGCATTGTAAATATTTGTCAAGTTTGATCGACGTTTCTAAGTTTTATGACAACAAAGTTTTAAACAATGTTCAAAGTAAAGCTTTAAATGCTTTAGAAGTGGTATAATTTATAGAAAAGTTCATCTTTCGAGTCTATTACAATGTAAAGTTAACAACTTAACTTTAAGCTTATATTTATATTTCGATGTTTATTTAAGCATTTTTATGAATTAATATTATAATAATAACACAAAAACTACATAACTGTCTATAACTTCAATATACATTAAATATAAATGAGGAAGCCGCGTATGTCGAAAAGACAATTTTATTCATAATTTAAAAAAAACAGACCAAGTTAATTTTAAGTTCAATGACCTCAAATAATCCGCTAAATATATCCTTGTACATCCTTGCATAATGTAAGCTATACAACACAGAGAAAAATGCCATCAAAGAAATTAAAAAGCTAGCAACACGATCTTGACACTGGCAGCAAAAAGCTCCCATCTACACTGGAATAACTTGTTAACCCGGCCGCATATTACTGGTATGGTATAACGTACACCATTAACGCACAGAATAAAACTGGCCAATTACAAAAAAAAATACCCGTTTCAAAAAAAGTAGCTGTCAATTTACGAAGAAAAAATCCTAACGCTTTTGTGATATTTATTTTCAAATGTTCTTAATTTGAAATCCTCTTAAATAGTTCTTCTCATTTTCACGCATATTTTTTTAAAGTATTCGATGTATCAAATTATTATTATACATGAAACAAAAACTCCATGAATATGTGTAAAAAATATAATTAATAACGTATAACACTTAGAATACTAATTATTGTTGCAAATAATTTTAATAAAAGGACATGTAAAATTTTAAAGATTTAACTACGTGACCAGGATATTATAAACATAAGACTTCCCATTCATACCGGCCAGTGCTCTGAATAAAGCCAAGCACACACATGCATAAAAAGGAAGCACAGATAACGTACGAGACTTTTAATTTTCTCATCGCGCACGTATTTTATGAGATATTATCTCATAACGGGCTAATATTTCATATCTCGTGCCTTATTTGACGTCATATTTTATAATATTCAAATTATTTTTTGGTAAAGAAGGTATATAAGTTTTAAATTATTAATTCATCCTTATTTAATTATTTATTCACTTGTTATTAATTAATTAAAATAGTGAAGCAACAAACTTATAAAAATATAGTAAAGCTAACCTCAAAATAGACATTATTTGAAAATACACTCAAGATTCTTAATTGAAAAAAAATTAGATTAATTTCAATAAGAAATAAAAAATTTCACTCACCGATTATTCTGGAACTTGACTTGGCCATGCAATCAAAAGACCATTATTTATAAATACACGATATTATTTACGTGAATCAGTTTTAAAAGTATCGCGCTTGGATAACGGTAGATTGTGTTGCACACGACTGGTTCAATACGTTGTCGGTGAGTGACTGAGCGCCGGCCCCCTCTAGCCCGCTATCACTCCACTTTCGGTTTATTCTCTCTCCTCCCCGGAGACTAAGATTTATCACTATGACATAGAGCCCTTGCAATCTAGAGATACTGAGGCTTAGATTTTTCACAACATCTAATATCATTGACCTATTAACAATTCTTACTAATATTAGAAATGCGAATGTTTACATGGATGGATGGATGTTTGTTTTTTTTATAGAAGGTGGCAAACTAGCAACGAATCGCCTAACATTATTTGAAGATATCTCCAGAACGGCTGATCGGATCTTTATGAAATTTGGCACACATATAGAACAAAGTCTGGTAGAACACATAGGCTATTAATTGTGCTTTTTTAATTCCGTACAGAAAGAGTAGCCGGCGAAAGCTTCGTAAAAACATAATTAATAAAATATGCAGGTATACTTTTTAAAACCATCAGTAATTAAATTAATTTTTGTGCTGTATTTTTAAACTCTGAATTTATTTTATATACATCATTTAAAACCCGAAACAAATGAATTGTATGATACACAGAAAAAAGCTCGTCATAGATAAGTTCTGGCCTTATAGAAAAAAAATTGATAAACATAGATCAACAGATTTGTAACAATAGCACATAATAGCTAATAGAGACGGAAGCAAATTTCTTGCAGGGCACCAGCCTAGATACATCATAAGCGTAGTCTGTGGCGCATTTGTATGGGCACCTCGAGCAGACGTCGGGACGCGTTCAATGGAGCGCATGCATTGACCAGTTTACTTCGAGACGCTGTTTGTTGAATAAAATATCTATAACCGTTGGGAAAGCTCTCTTTTATGGCCAATAGTATTCACGGTGACCTATTTCATATTTACTTCTACATACATTTTTATTCTGTGAGAAATCGTCTCAAATGATGCGTAAATTGTAATTGTTGTTGAAATCATTTGAGGTTTTTTATCGCCTTTACATACCGTGATATGTATTTTCCTAATTAATAAAACCTGAGAGGTCGAAATCTAGATTAGACGTGCTTGTACATCGCTTTGAATTCAGGTCAAAGCGATAACTAAGCTCATTAGAGCAATCATTGTCAAATACCAATCGGTCTAATAATAGACAAAAGTTTGTAAAAATCAAATATATGAAAACTGTATCAATTTATTTTATCTTTCAACTCTTATAAGTAATGTATTAGAAAAAAGGCTTTAAATATATATATATATATATATATATACTTTAACAAAACACATGCATTTAACGAAAAAATAATTCTTATTATAAGTTATTGCTTATTCTCTGTTCTCTTCTGCGTTGTATTGCTATTTTTCTTTGAGTCAGTGTCGATCGGTTCACCAAGAACGAAGTTCAGTAACAAACATAAAAGAAAAAGGGTCTTGACAGACGGACGGACAACAAACTGATCCTATAAGGGTTTTGTTTCGAAGTTCGAAGTCATTAAAAGGGAATAAAATAATTACAATTAAATAAAATAACATATTGACGCAATCTGCATATATCTGAGAAGAAATTCAAAGATATGTGTGAAGTCAACCAACCCGCAATTGGCCCGCGTGGTTGACTATGACCTAGTCACCCTTAACTTAGGGTAGGCTCCGAGCCCCTCAGTGGGGACGTATAGTGAGCTGGTGATGATGAAAATTATATTGTTTACTTTTAAAGACACACACAAAATGGCGGTTGTACTAGTTATAAAAGATATCATCAACAAAATTCAATTACCAAATATTACATATCTCGCTGGGAAAAGATGACTTACCCGCGTATTCTGTGTGACGGGCGAATGTAATTCGTAAGTTGAGTAAGAAGCTGAAATAAGAAAATAACATTAATTCTCCTTAGCGGTATATTTGTTATCTGGAATTGATTTACTGATATATTCACGAAGGCAATTCGGAAAGAAGCAGAATAAACAAATGCGTGTTTTATTTGATTTATAACCCAATCTCTGGATTCAATTTTGCAGATAATGGATACAAATTGATTAACTATTTAAATTAAAGTAAAATAATCAAAACGATAGGGAGATGATGCCCTTTAACGATGTTAAAACATATCCTAATAATACAGCAACACTATTAATAATTCTACTCCCTTTTGTACTAAGCTGGGAATTCATCCAGTAGACAGTCTACAAGTTTTGACAACTGCGACTTTCTTACATCTTACTTATCTTACTAATATTATAAATGCGAATGCTTAGATGGATGGATGTTTGTTTCTTTAAACATTATTAGTTAGAATCCTTTGGCGCAAATAGCGGGCTTTCGTTACAAAGTCCATTGCCAGAATGATTAGTGAGGCATAACGTCGACATTTTAGTAAGACTAGTGTTGGGCCAGTATACCGGCACAGTGTCGGATTTTCTTTCTAACTGTTTTAAGGTATCTTGAGAACGGGTGTATATATCTCGCTTTAATTTGGCGTAGATATAGAACATAGTATGGAAGAACATGTGCTACTAATTAGTTGTTTTGTAACCCCGCGCGGATGGAGTCGCAGGCGACAACTAGTGTACAATATGATTATCTCTGTTCTTTCAAAAGAAATGAGTGAGATGAAAGTATGTAATTAGGTACTTTGATGTAAGATGATGAACTATTACATAATAACTTGCGAAAAACCAGCTATGTTATATTCGTAGCACGTTTCTTGTTAAGTACATGGAAATAGAACAGAAGTCGTTGTTCTCCATAATTTACTGATTTATTAAACGAACAGGTACCGCCCGCGGACACTTTATTAACTCAACTATCAGAATAAAATATCCCAAGAATCTGTCTCAATAATGAAGGAAATTGTTCACCTAGTTTTAGATGCAACATACGTTATTATAATAAGTATTATTTCAAGTTCCCAAATAGATTGAACATATGTTTAATATTACAATAACGTTCTGAAAGGGGGAGCGACGTAATATAAGATCTATAGCCTATAGAATAAGATATAAAAAAACTTTAAAATACAATTGTCTCCATGACATGCTTAGACAGTTTTAAGATTAAAGAATATTTTTTTATTGTTTTAAATACTTATATTAATTACTTTATTTAATTTTATAAATTTATAATTTAATGCTTTTTTTGTAAAAGAATTAGACAAATATTTTCAGTTGATAACAACTGTAATAAATCTTTGTAGGGTTTTTCATGCCTTGTCAACAAAACATAGCATGTAATACCTGAAAGCATACCATGAAAACTACTATGCATTATTCAATTACCAGTAAATAACAAAAATAATGAAAATATAAATTTAAATTTGTTTAAAATAAATCTTAAATTAAAAATATACAGCGGTTTTTGTTTTATTTATCTCGAGAACAGGTTATTAAAACTGGAGTGTTCTCGTTTTGCACTCTAGACTTCGAGGAGCCGACATAAATTTCCGGGACAGAAATGCTTTAGTTTTACGACATTTCCTTTCCACCATTTTTATATTAAAACAGGAGCGTCACCTATATTAAAATATCATTTGTAAGAACTTGAATTTGATTTATTAGCAGACTTATCGTAGGTTTCTGAGACCAATGTCTCTGCATAAAATTTAATATCAACCCTATCATGATAGTTGATTCAACAGTGGTAGAGCCCGCTTTAACATCTTCGCACGAATTGGCCCGGCTCGCCCGGTGAAATACCACGACTACATAGAAGACGGGCGTGAAGTGGAAGCAATTCCGCGTTTCGTCTGATGAGTGTGCGTCCCGGAGACCTAATTTAGTCCTCTTTCACTTTCCACACTTTTTCTTATAAGGAAAGGATGGGAAGTGGAAGTGCACTTTCCGGATGAGAGGATGCATAGGAAGGGAAAATATGTTCTTTCTGTGCATCCTCTCCTCCGTCGATTAAAGGTAGGCAACGCATATGCAATTGCGTGTCTATGGGCAGCGGTCGCTTCGCTATTTCACCGACCGTTCGCTCGTTTGCCATCTTGTAATTATAAAAAATCATCATTATAAAAAAAACGTTGACGAAACAGAGATAACAATATGTTTTAAAAGGCGATTTGGATCACAGAAACCCACTTATTTTACCCAAACATTATTTTAAATGGAAGAAATAGATTATAAATATATCCTGAATAACTTAAGCTGTAGTTAAGACAATTGCTACTTAAATAAATCAATAGTGTATAGTGTGTCTAGAACGTTCCCTTGCGACAATGTTAACTGTCATTCAATTAGAATGATTATAAATTACTAGCTGTCGCCCGCGACTCCGTCCGCGTGGATATATAAAGAAAACTTAATTAGTGTAGCCCACCCATCCATCCACATCACATCCATCTAAACATTCGCATTTATAATATTAGTAAGATAGTCTGAATGAACACATAGACTACTTGTAAAGATTTTTTTTGTAAAGAAGAAGAACCGTGGCTGGCTGCTAGTGATTAAATAAGAGCTTCAACAAATCATTTCAAAAACACTTGTATTAAAAGATATTTTTATCTATTTTTAATACGAAAAGAATGAGAGGTATAAAAATACGTTTTCATGCAAATGTTTCGTCAGTGGAAACTCATTGTAATTGTGAGCTATTTTGACACAACGATCGATATGTCTGTTCAAAGTATAATCCAAACAGTAACCATTCATCATAGATGTATTGCAAATGTAATACGAATTGTAACTTGCAATCATTGAGAAACAAAGGTTAGTCTATGTAGGTTCCCGGTTCAAAAGTCTTTACCCAACTTTAAATAAAGCCGTCTTTAAAACAAGCGGTTTGCGCAGACGCAGTACTTACTTTTAGTTTTTGTGTCTGCTGAATTAGACTATAGGGTCTGTCACATAAATCTTGCTTGATTAAAGATATATTTTATAATATGTTACAGTAATTTTGTTGCAAGATTAAAAAGCTTTTACAAAAATATGATTTTAATTCAAGATAATAAATAACTCAATAACTAAAACCGTGTAAAACTTTGGGAATGATTTAAAATTCCTGTAAGAAAACTGCAATCGAATTTACTG